GCACCATGGCCCCGGGGCCCCATCAAAGCCGGCTCCCCCAGGGCCCTTGTGACGTGACTCTGGGCCTTCAAGCCTGGGTGCAGCTCCCAGCAACCTCTCCTGGCCTGTGAGACGGCCTGTTGCATGGACGCGGCAGAGCCATGTGGTATCTGACAGTGCCAGGCTCCTCGGACAAAATCTAGTGTGTTCAGGTTGGGGTTCTGGGTTCTCTCAATTCCCAGGTTTGGCAAAGTGAACTAGTTGTCCAAAAGGCGCTATTACCGATTTAAGGAAAGGTAGGTTTTCTGAGGCTGTGGCTGCACTTCTACAAGTAGCCACAAGGTGTCGGGCTCAGGCCAGGTTTGGAAAGCTCTGCTGGGCCGGGAGCTCAGGGAGCAAACTTCAGAGCACCCCTCTCCTCCCAGGGTCCCTGCCTCTGGATGGGGGTCCCAGTAATCGATCTTTCTGGAGGCTCTCAGTAATCGATCTAATTTTGTTCTGATACAAATGTAATACGGGCCCCTCTAATTTTCAGAACACAATAATGCTTCTGGAAGGTGTTGCATCTGTGGCTTTGGGCATCCACCTTGCCACGTCCTCTGGTGTTGGGGAATCCCCTAATGGTGTGGGGGGGATTTTCTTACGCCTCCCCTCCCTCCACCAACTGTTCTGTAATGCCAGGATGGAGGCGGATAAAAGCCTCAGATCTGAGCACAAAAGGTGTAGAGCCCACCTGTACCCTGATGCTGTAGGGAGTTCCCTCCATAGACAGAAATGTCCCTTTGACCCCCAGCCCTCTTCCCAGAGGGCCTCAAGTTGTAGAGTCTAAAACCGGTGGGCTCTTTCGCTTCAATTCTAGAAGTGGCCACCAGGTGTCAGCATGAGGCTGCCGAAGCAGCCAAGTGAAGAAAACCTGGCACTTGGGATTTCTGGGGGTAATCCAGGACTTTCCTGAATAAATGAGGACCTGGCCAGAGCCCCAGGATGGGGTGATCCTCTCCCAGGCCTAAAGGCAGGATGGTCAATGAAGTTTTTGTTACCAGGTGTCCCTTCACCCCTTCTCTCCAAATTTGTCCCTTTTGTGTTCCCTCCCACTACCTGTATCCCCTATTGGCCATATGCTCTTTTTCCATCAAGGAAAATAAATGGAATGTAGGGCTGTAGGTCACAACCCCCCCCCCACACACACACACACACATTCCGGAGGCCCAATGCCTCTATCCTGCCTCAGTGGTGCCATGGTTAGCTAGTCCTCCAGGGTCTTCCCCACCCTAACCCCTTTCCTCTGATCTGCTCCCCTTGCTTAAGCATTCTGGGTTCCAAGATTCTGATAGACTAAAATAACCCTGCATGACTCTTTTGGGCCAGTCCTGACATGGGAATCCAGAACAAGGCAGAATTCTGATTCAAGGTACTGTTTGGGGGCTGGGAGTTTCCACGTTTTTAGGAGTTTGATCTGTGGTTTGAAAAGCCACTTCCTGGGGCACCTGGGTGGCTGTCCTTTAAGCATCCGACTTTGGCTCAGGCCATGATCTCATGATTCGTGGGTCATCGCGAATGAGCCCCGGGTCGGGCTCCTTGCTGACAGCCAGCTCAGAGCCTGGAGACTGTTTCAGATTCTGTATCTCCCTCTCTCTCTCTGACCCTCCCCTGCTCATGCTGTCTCTCTGTCTCAGAAATAAATTTTTAAAAAACATTTAAAAAAATGAAAAGCCACTTCCTTTTCAGCCCCTTAGCTGCCCACCTTCTCACTTTGGTGAGCCTCACGTGGAACCTTCACGTCTGGCTTGGGTTCCACTCTCCCTAGCCCCACATGTGGCTTGACAAGTCCTGGCTAAGTCTTTCCATAAGGACCTGGCAATAGCTCTTTGAAACATCTGGCCATCTTGCAGCAGAAACCAGGGGACAGCACAGGATGCAAAGCCTTCAAGCCACAGAGCCCAAAGCAGAGTCAGAGCCCGTATAAGCAGGTGACTGAAGCACCACAGGAACTGTAGACTGCTTCACACTGACTTCCTTCTACGTGCCCCAGACCTGACTTAGGGCCTTTTAGCATTCCTGGGTCCCTCCCCATCCAAGAGCCCAGTGGAGAGTCCCTCCTGCCCTCTTCTCATGGGGTGGTGTAGCTCTGGAGCATCTGCATCCTTTGGGGCACAGCTGCCAGATCTGAGTTCCCCCATCAAGTCTCTCTCCCCCACCAAAAGTCCTGTCCTCTCCATTGGATGCCCCCTCCCTCTGGCTAAGGAAGGGAGTTCAGGTGATGGCTTAAGAGAAAAAGGAAGAGAGAGTTAAACCCCAGCATGTGCCAGTGAGTTGGGTGAGCTGAGATGCAAGGGTACTGGGAGGATGGGAGTGGTGGCCTGCTGGAAAGTGAGTCTTCCAGTGCCTCTCAGTGAGTCTTTGCTCTGTGGTCTCCTTCCCTGCGAGCTTGGGGGAGAAGTTTAAATTCCCAGTGAGATTTAGTCCAATCAGGGCAACACATCCCCCAGCTGCTGATGGCTTTGAGGCTGTGTTTCAATTGGAGTTTCATCCAGACTCAGAGGCTGAGAACTCAACATCCCACCCACAGCGTTTGTGAGCAGGACTGGTGCTCGGAGCTGCCACCTGCCATCATACCTGTGGTGCAGGGGGGTCAATCAGGAGTGACTGGTGACGGGAGGAAGCTCCCAGACGAGGCCCCTGCCCTTGAAAGAAGGAGGGACACGACAAGGCTGCACTGCAACTGCCTTGGGAGCACCTGGAGAGAAGATTTTCTGATTACTCTCGAACCCTGCTTCATTCTGCATGTGGCCCATCGCCATTTTACCCGTGCCACGCCCACTGGCATACCAGGGTGTCAAGTGACTGCCAGGTGTCAATCTCGGGTGGCCCCGCCCACTCTCCCCCCCCAAGTAGTCCCACCTCCTAGCTAACTGGAGTACTTCCGGTTTATGCCCACGCCCACACACGCCTCTCCGTGGGGTCAGGGGGCTGGCCAAATCTCCACCCCCTAAGGCATGTGCCCTGGCGTGAGAAGGTGCCACATCCAGCTGCCCAGTGGCCTCAGCACCACCGAGTGGGCACAAAGCTACCCAATTTGGAGGGGGTCGAGGAAAGGCGTGGAGGGGACGAGGAGGTGAGGGGCAAAACTGTAATTTCAGTTGGCATTTGAGCAGGTGCCGTGCTCAGCGGTGGAGACCCTCTCCCGCTTCTGGGGGCTGTTAACATGCACACTCTAAAAGTGCCCTTCATCGTCTCTCCAGCCTCAGCCTCGTCCCCCACCTCCTCCTCCCCGTCAACCCGGCTGGAGGGTCCGGGCACCACAGCCAGAGCACCCCCTGCTTTGGCGGCGACTGCTAACATTGGCCCGGCCAGCGGATCATCGGCCGGGCAGTTTCGGCAGAGAGCCTTGGGCACCAGTGACTCCCCGGTCCTCTTCATCCACCGCCCAGGAGCTTCGGGGACTACGCAGCGACTAGAGTACAGGTGACCGGGGCTTCCCTCCCCCTGGCTGCAGCCCCTCGGTGTGAGAGAAGAGCTGTCTTCTGAGTGTCGAGGCACAGGTGGGCTGGGGGCTTGAGGCAGCTAACGGTATCCCCGGGACACATCCCTGCTGCAGGAGGGGGGGTGGGCCCAGCAAGCTTGCTAAGAACAGCCTCAACTTTGGAGGATACAGGAAAGACAAGTGGGGAGGGGCTTCTCTATAGGGCCGCACAGAATCACAGAGGCTTTTGCAAGGAAAATAGATTTTCCTTCACTAATCTGCCAGGCAAAGTGGGAGGGGCAGGGGTGGAGGGTAGGGCTGCCCTTCTCAGCAGGAGTGAACAGCTGTTTTTGCAAATGTAAAGGGCATGGCTTTTCTGTGTGAGAAATTTGTTCTTGCTGCACCACCCCCTCCCACCCCCCCACCCCCAGTCCCCGCCGAAGACAAACAGGACACTGTGCAGAGGGCCGAGGGCCCAAGATTTTGGAACAGTTTTTTTTTTTATACCATTTTAAAAGTAAAGCATCCGCATTTCTCCCCACTCCCTACACATCCCAACCATCACCAGAGAATCTCACTAAGTATTTGGAAAGGGGAGTGAGGAGGAGGAGGAGGAAGGACAAGTGCCTTGTACCCCACGACAGGATTAAGAGTAAAGCTTCTCTCTCGCTGCCGTGTGCTCAGTTCTCTCCTGCTCCCAGAACCGAGTGCTGGGGCAAGGGCATCCCCCAGGGGAGTGCCTAATTCTGTACAAGAAGTCTCTCTCCCCTCCCCCCGGGGTCCCAGACTCCTCCATACACCAGATGTGGTGTTTGGCGGGCAGATTTCATTTCCCCAGGGAAGCCCAGTGCCCACTGTACCCTCCGACCCCCCAGGGGCTTCTGAATAGAAAGCTGTGCCCTTTCGTTTGTTCCTGGCCTCCTCCTTGCTTCCACCCAAGGGGGGAGTGTTGGGGGGCCATGTTGTGTGCCCCGATTCCCCAAGGCAGGCCTTCTGTGTGCAGCCCCAGCCCATGCCCAGGCACAAGTCCCCACCAGCCAGGAAGGGGCAGGCCACCCAACAGAAGAGTCTCCTACCTCTTTGTGAGCAAGCAACCTTTCAGGCTTGGCTGCTGGGAAGCCCAGCTCTAGGTGAGCTGTGGGCCACTTCCTCCTTCCTTGTACTTTGAAAGAGGGGGAGCTAGGCAGCCAGAGGGACAGGAAGGGAAGCTACCACCCACCACCCTGGCAAGGTGACTTTCAGGCCTCCCCACTGAACAGCCCGGGGTGGGGGGAGGGGATGGGGGCTCTGGCTGGCAGGCGGATTTGCCTTAAAAGTGCTCATCTCAGGAACACCTTTGTGTTTCCCCCAGGGGCCGAAGAGTCACTGCCGAGATCCTTGAGGAGGAGGTGGATTCCAAGACCCAGGGCCCTGCATCTCACCCAGCTGAGCCCCCAGCCCAGGCTGCCGCCCAGCCTGAGCCACAGCCTGAGCCACAGCGGGCCAGAGCCACCAGAGAACCCAGCTCGGAAGTGAGCTGCTGCGGCCTGTGGCCCAGGCGGTCCCCTCGCGCTCGGAACTGAGGCCCTCGGCCAGCCCCAGCCCCAGCCCCAGCCCCACAGAGGTGAGTGTCGTCAGGCTCCCAGGGCCGCGCAGAGGTGTCCGCTGGTTCAGCTTTCCAAGTGTCAGAGTCTGTGCCAGGGCCTGGCTTCCTTCAGTTCACGGAGCCCCTCTCCCTCCAGGCCCAGGGAAGCTGGGTGTATTCAGAGCCGCACCACAGACATCTGTGATTCAGGGGTCTGCTCCTGGTGCCTGCCTGTCCTTGGTGGCTCAGGTGTGGGGGCAGTAAGCCCCCTGCAGTCTGGGCTCCACAGCCGTCCTTGGAAGGGAGCTTCTGGAAGAAGAAGGGCAAGGGAGGGGAACAGAGCAGTCCATGAGAGAAGCGGGGGGGGGTGGTGGGGGCAAGGTGGGGACAGAATTGGAGGAAGGGGAAAGGAAATGCGGAGGGGGGAGAGGGAAAGCTCATCAGTTGTGAATCAGGAGACCCCAGGAAAGCTGGGCTCAGCTGGAGCATGTGAGACCCAGGTCCTCCCTGCCCTGGGCTGCTGGGCTGTGGGGCCTCACACCAGTGTCTTGACCTCTCTGTGTCCCCATTTGTCAAAGTGGGTGGCAGCCGCAGACCTCCTGGCCGTTGGGTTGTGAGAAGGAAGGGAGGCAGCAGCCAAGGGCTGGAGGGGCACTGTGAGCGAGGCGGAGGACCTTACACACACGGTGTCAGGATTCCATTGTGTTCAGCCGGAGGGGCTTCCTGTGTGTGCTGCCGTGGGGGGTGGGGGGGCGACTAGAAAGCCCTGAGGCCAGAGTGCCTGGGACACTTCTGGAGCAAGCTCGGTGTGGTGGCCACACCAGTTCACGGACAAGGTACTGGGGTGGGGGCACAGGCTGAGCTGCCCGGAGGGGTGCTCTGTGCCGGGGTCTTGGGGAGCTTTGGAAGTGGGGGTGGGGCAGGTCATTGTCCTTGCGCTGGACCCACAAGTGACAGAGGCCACCTTTTAGAGCCGGCAGGGAGGGACCCGTCAGGTCACCCCCTTCTAGGCTGGTCTGCCCATCTGAGAGAGAGGCCAAGAACCTTCTTTTAAAGGTGTCTTTATTTCAGACACCACATGAAATAGTACAAAAGCGGCCTTGCCTGGGTCCTTCCCCAGTGTGCCAGGGCTCAGCCCCTTCCCCTGGGGCCCCCACCCAACCCCTACCTACTTTTTGGCTTTTGGTTTATTGATCTGCGGCCTGTGGTGCCTTGTGCCCTGGGTAGCTCGTGCTGTTGGGTCCTGGAGGTTCCGGCTGGGTCCCCGGTCCCTTGCTTGCAGCTTGGGGTTGACACCGGCATCCCTCCTGGAGCTCAGAGCGCAGCCTGGGTCTCAGCAGAGGGTGCCCTGTGTCGGGTGAGGGAGGGGGTGCTCAGGAGACCCTCAGAGATCGGAGTTTGCAAAATGCTGGGCTTGGACCCAGGGAGCAGAGCGGCCAGCTCGGAGCCAGAGCCGAGGGAGGGAACGGGGAAGGAGAAGGGCCGCCTGCTGAGAGCGGGGAGCAGGGGAGCCGGGAGGTGGGAGAGAGCGCGGCAGCAGGCCTGGGGCGTGGGGGCCAGGCTCAGTGGGTGAGTCCGAATCTCGAATCGGGGGATGATGGCTCTCTGTGGAGCGTGGGTTTGCGATCTGCAGGGGAGGCTCCTGCTGCCCTGGTGCTGGCGCAGGGCGGGGCGGGGGGAGAAGCTGGGGCTGAAGTTCCCGCTGCCGAGCTCTGGGCAAGAGACCCCAGCCCCACAACGTGCCTGAGCTGCTGTAGCTCCCTTCCTACCGTGGACGGCCGGAAGTCGAGGAGAGTCTGACGCTGGTCTGGCTGGGGGAGGCCAGTGCTTTTTTTGAGCCCTTGGGTGACCCGGATCTGCCCCTGTCAAGCCTGCCCCTTTAGCCACACTTTTGACTAAATAAGGCGAGGGTTCAGCAGGCAGCCCCGCGGGGGAGGGAGAGCATGTGCCCCCCCCCCCGCCCTGATGGCTCAGTCTGGCACCCCAAAGTGGCCTCAGCCTTCCTACCTCCAAGGTCCAGGCAGAAGCTGCAAGGGCACGTCTCCAAGCACCGGGCAGAGGCTTCTCCAGGGCCAGCGCCTGTGTGGGCAGAATGCAGGGGAGGGACCCACTGATCAGCAGCTGGCGCAGTCGCCTGCCAGGCACCTCCATCCAGGGGGGAAAGCCCACCCTTTGAAAAGGGGCTCTCACCTCTGCAGGTTCCTCCCCCCCGCCAACTCCCAGCCCAGGAAGCAGGCCTGGAGGAAAGGTGGAGAGCTCAGAGTGCAGCCCCTATGTTTGTCCATAAGCAGAGGCCTCCAAAGGATCCGAAATCTGCTCTGGGCTCCCAGGGATCCCGCTCCCCACCCCCCAAATTCGCAAGTCTTTATGCAGTGGGGAGAGACTTCAAGGCCCAAGGCTTCTCTACTGGGGGCTCCTTCCTCACCCTCCCTCCTTCCCCAGGCACACCCGCCCAGCCTGAAAGCCAAGGACATGGGAGGCTGCAAAGGCTGGTGGAGAGGGGAGGGGGCGGTGATGGGTGGGGGGGAGACAGGCCAGATGTTCTTGGAATGGGACACGGGGTGATTGATGTGGACTGGAATTTGAAGGGGGAACATTCCCCACGTGCCTGGGGCTCTGGGTGGAAAATGGGCTGTTTTTCATGGGGGGGGGGGTCGCCCTGTCCTGCCAAACTAATGTGAAGGGCTGCCTCAGCCCTGACTGCGTCCCCACACCTGTCCAATGGCATTAACTCCTGCCCTCCCAGAATGTCAAGCTTTGAGCTGCTCCCTTCTAACTGGGGTCCTTCTGTGGGGTGACTCTGGGGACAAGCGGTGCCTGCTGTCCCAGCCCCAGGAGCCCCACCATTCCTCTCCCCCATCGATGTCTTTTTCCTGGCACTCCTCAGGTACCTCCCAGGGTCGCTGCCCCCCACCCTTAAGATCGCCCAGTTGGGAGGGGGCGACCCTGCTTGTGCGGCAGCGCCCTGCGCCTGCGTCGGTTCAGTCCTGGCTTTTAAGCAATTGACTTTCCCAGCCGGGACAGTGAGACGTCTCCTGAAAATGCTCTTTGAGAAAACGAAAGGACACCCCTGGCACCCTGGCCACCGAGAAGTCCTGCCCCATCCCCCACCCCCACTCCGCTTCCCCTCTTGTTCCTGATTCCCTCCCCTCTTTCGTGTTACCCAAGCGAATGGGTTTCGCCCTCGTTTGGGGACCGGGAAAGGCCGGAGCGGCGCCCGCGGAGCGCCCCGGCGCGCGGGGGTGGCCGTCTGGGGTGCTCCAGGGCCCCCAAGCCGAGCCGGGGACGAGCCTGCCCGCGGCGGCCGCCCGGCCGCGGCTTCGCCTAGGCTCGCAGCGCGGGAGCGCGTGGGGCGCGGCGGCGGCGGGGAGCGCGGGGCCGTCCTCGGAGGCGGCCGAGCGGGGAGCCCGGAGCCCCGGGAGCGCCGAGGAGCCGCGCCCAAGGCGCGCCCTCGCCGCTCGCGGCTTCCTCCCTTCCTCCCGACGCCCGATCCGCCGCGCCGCGGCCGCACGCGCGCTCCCTGGGCCAGAAGGCAAACGGGAGAGAAGCAATATTCCTTCCGGGGCGCGCGCCTCAGGGTCCCCGGCGCTCCCTGCCTGCGCCCGCGTCCCCCCCGGGAGGGCGCCCCTGCTCCGCGCGCGGGCCCCCAGACGCGGGGGAGCGCCGGCGGCGCGCCGCCCGCCCGGCCCCGGAGCCCCGCGCTGCGGCGCAGCCCTCCACCCAAGAGCCGAGTGACTTCCCTGCTCCCACCAGACGCGGGCATTATTATTATTTTTTTTTTTTTCTGGGATCCTCCAAATTTAAGGCTTGCTCCCACGTCCTCCGAATACATCCAGCATTTCCCCAGGTCCCAAGAATTTTCTTGGACATCAATTTCCGGGGACCTGGAAACATGAGCCGCGGCTGGGTTCCCCCAGATTCACCGAGTGGCCTGGGTCCCCAAACCCACTGGGCGTTTCCTCCCAGGCTCTTAACAGTTTTGTACACCTTGCTCCAGATCCTACCGAATCACACCCCGCCAACCCCTATCCTCCCAAATGTAAACGTTAACCCCGGGGTCCTTCCTGTGCTCATGCCGACCCACTTGCCTGGCTCCCCGGAAAGCTCACAGTGTTTTTCTGGCACTTAGGCATCGGCTGCAAAATAAGTGGAGCGTTTTCTCTGCGTCTCCATAATTTTGCACATGAAATTCAGGGTCTCCCAAGCTTTCCGTCCTTGCTCCGCTCCCCGACACTGAAGCCCTGTTCTCCTGGTTCATCACAGTTTAGGACCTTATCCGCCGAGTTCCACAAATTTATTGGCACCAGCCTGGGTTCCCTAAATTTTACAGAAAGACTGCCAGGTTCCCCCAACACACTGAACAATCTTCCCAGAACCCTCAGAGTTTGAACGTAGTTTCCTATTCCTTCACTGCAGTGTAGGCATTACACCCAAAAGACACCAAGCCCTATTCTGAACCACAGATAGTCTGTGCTCTTTTTTTCCTGACTTCCACAAAGTTGAGAGTTTGATTTCTGATCCCCAGAACTCATTGAGCAATTTGTGTGTGTGTTGGGCAGGAGGTGGGGGGGCATGAAGATGCGGGAGAATTTGTTTACAGGGCTCTCCAAGCTTCCTGGCCGAAAATCAGGTCCCTTAGAGTTTAGACACTGGCACCCAAGCCCCGAAGCACACTGAGCAATTACTGGAGATGTGCTTCACGGTGACTGTGGCTGTCGCAGGTTCCCCTGGGTCCCACCCCGCACAAGACAAACCCAGCACCAAGCCTATGTCTCCTTATACGGGGCTCTGTTGGGTGTTCCCAGGAACCAAATATTCTGAATATTTTCTCTGCATCATAACATTTTGAGCATTAAAGAAAAATTCCCTGTATCCCACTGGCTTGCCAACAAAAATCCAGATTTTCTAAAATTCAGACAGGGATCTCAAATGCCAGGATGACACTGGCCTCTTTTTCTGTGCCCTTGTATTTTGGACATGCTAGGCTCTCTCAAATATTACCTATTGCCTTCCAGGCCCGAAAACACAGTCAGTACTACACACTTGGATCACAGAAAGGCACTGATTTCTTGCACTACAAAACATCTTGCACACCCGCAAAGTCGCCCAAACTAAGCAACATTCCCTCTCACACACTGAAAACTCCCTACAGATCACCAGTTTTGGACACTGATTTCCTAGGCCTCATGACCTACGAACTCTTAATCTTTTCCTTTAAAGCTTAGATATTGACCCCCAATTTTCCTGAGGACTCTGAGTAACTTCCCTGGATTCCCAGATCCAAAAATTAGTTTCCCGGGGCCTCCAAATTGAGACATGTCTCCCAGCCCTCCAAAATAAATTGGGATTTCCCCCCTCCACAAAACAACTGAGCTTTTTTTGGACATTGATTTTTGAGTCCCTTGAATTTATGACCCTTGCCCCAAGTCTCCTTAAATCTACGCAGCTTTCCGTAGGCCCCCCAAAATGAAAAATGTCCAGGGATCGAAAAATATCCTAGAAATCCCAGGTCTTATGGGCCTGTGTCCCACAAGCTTCCTGTCAACTAACCAGGGTCCCTGAAATTTAGATCTCTGGACAATTCCTGTGGATCCCCCAAACTTGGGCCATTGTTGTAGACAGAGCCCAAGGAAAACAGGATATTTTTTCCTGTTCATCAAAAATAAACTGGTTGAAATCAATTAAAAAATTAAAATATAAAGGGACATGGATTTTCTGCATTTCCAGAAATGTGCTGATCACACCCCAGTTTCCCCCCAAATTTAGACAGTGTTTCTTGAGACCCTAAAGGACAGTGAGAATTCTCCTCAAGGCCACAACAATTATGGAGTTTGCCTCCGTGGCCTCGCAAACATCCAGGCCACTAACTTGCATTTGTAAATTGTGGAAGTGAATCTGCTCTTCCTGTCACCACACACTGGGATTTTGCCTAGACCCCCAAAATGTGTTCAGTGTTTCTCTTCCCCCAATTTTAGATAATGTGCCTCTTAGGTCCCGCCACGTTTCATGTTGAGAATTTTCCGAGTCACCCAAAACCTACCTCCCACAAATTGGCCTGGGGTTCCCCCTCAGCTTGCCGACCAAGATGCTGGGGCCCCCATATTTTTGACTCGGATTTCTTGGCCCCTGGTTGCACTGAGCAACTTCCCCTGGTCCCCCAAACTTGGACCCTGTGTCTGGAGGCTCAAATTCAGTCACTGATTACAGTCCCCCCACATCAGCAGAGCCTCCCTCGGGTCTCCTACGTCGGGCTGTTGGGGCTCTGGGCCGCAAACCAGACGGAGCTCTGACCTGCGTTCCCGATATTTGGGCATTGTTCCCGGCCCGCCCGCAGCCCCGCGCGCAGCGGGGCACGAGTTTCGGACCTCTGTTCCTCTCCTACAAAAGCCCCCGAGCTGCTCGGGTTCGGGAGATTTGTGTTCCCCCAACACACTTGTCCCGCCAGGACGTGGGCAGTGCTTCTCCCGCGTCCAGGAGAGCGACTGGGCATTGCCCCCAGTTTCCCCCAAATTTGGGCATTGTCCCCGGGTCTTCCAACGGACTGGGCGTTGCCCCCGGACATCGGGGACTGCCCCCGGGGTCTCGCTCACCTTCAGCAGCGTCCACCGCCGCCTCAGAGCGCTTGCTTGCTGCCTCAGCTCCTTCCGCGCCCGCGGACGCAGCCTCCAGCCTGCAGCCTCCAGCCTGCAGCCTCCAGCCTCCAGCCGTGCGGTGAGCTCCCCGCCGCCTCCGCGGCCCGGCTGCCCTCCCGCCCGCCCCCGGGGCCGCCGCTAGCCCGGGGCGGCCGCCGGGGCCACCACGGCCGGGCCCAGGAGCCTGCAGGGGCTTGCGGCTCGGCGGCCGCGCTGGCCGGGGCCGCGCGCCCCGAAACCTGCGCCGCTTTCCTTAGCTCTTTTCAGAGCTCACAGTCGTGGGGGAAGGCGGCTCGGCGGCCCCCAGTTGGGGAGGGTCGGGCGCTGGGTCGGGGGGAACGCGGAGGAGAGGCGCACCCCGCTCCGGCGGCGCGGCGCCTCCAAGTCCGCCGCGCAGGGGACTCGGGGAGGCGCGCGCCGAGCGCGGGCGAAGTGATTGATGGCGGAGCGAGGGGGCGATCGGGGGCTTCCGCCGGCGGCGCCCCTTCCCTCGGAGAGGCGCGGGTGGCTGGGGGCGCCGCGGGGCGGGCGGGACGCCGGGGCCTGTGCGTGGTTTTGACTTGGTAAAAATCACGACTTCTTACGTCGTCTAAACTCTCCAGGAGATGGTTTCCCCAGACCCCCAAATTATCGTGGTGGCCCCCGGGACTGAACCCGAGTCTACGCAAGCCCAACGCACTGAGGACAGGGGAATCATTCTCCGCATATTTTGGGTGGGCCCCAAAGGCGAGCTGCTTAGACGAACCCCGGTGAGCTCGGTCGTGCAGGTAGGACTGGAGCGCCGCCGTTTCCCGCCCTGCTCGTCCGTCCCCGGCCAGGCGCGGCCTCCGAAGGCCCCGCCGTCTGGCCCACGTTGGGGCCGGGCCTCCCCAGGAACCGCACCTGGCGGCCGCCGCGGCTGCACCCCGGCTCCCGCGCGGCACCGGGGGGCGCTCAGGTTCCGGCTGCTGCGACTCCAGGCGCCGCGCCTGCTCGGGCAGGTGGCGGCCGCGCGCCAGGCCCGAGCCCCGGGCTTCCCCCTCCCCCTGCGGCTCCCCCTGGGGCTCGGGGACCCCAGACCCGGCGCCGCCAAACCACCTGCGTCCTCACTTTCGCCCGGGCGCGCCCGCCGCGTGGCCCCCCGCCGCCGCTAGGGTCCGGGACGCCGCCCACCTTTCTCGCTTCGCGCCCCCCGAGCGCGCGAACTTAGAGACCCTGGTTCCCGGGAACCCGAGAGGGCCCCCCCCCAACACACACTTTAGAACGGGCGACTCGGGATTCAACATTTCTTTCGCATTCTGCCGCTCCCCGCCCCCAGCCCAATCTGGCCTCCAGCCCCCCCCGCCCCCCCCACCGTCGCCCCAGGGCAGGGGGCCCCCAGCCCGCGGCCCCCCCCAGCTCCACCGGCGGGGGCGGTCCTGGGGGCGGGGCCAGCGCCCCTCGGGCGCCCATTGGCGCGGGCCTGGGGCCAGCGGGGCCCGAGCGGGCGCCGCGCCGCGGGGTGGCGCGGCTATAAGAGCCGGGCGTTGGCGCCCGCAGTTCGCCTGCTCTCCGGCGGAGCTGCGTGAGGCCAGGCCGGCCCCCGGCCCCCCCCTTCCGGCCGCCCCCGCCTCCTGGCCCACGCCTGCCCGCGCTCGGCCCGCCAGCGCCTCCACCCGGCCGGCGGCCCCGCGTCTTCGCCGCCCGCCGACACGCTGCTGACTCCCGCCTCGGGCGCCGTCGGCGGGGCCGCGCTCCGCCGGGCCTGCGGATCCCCGCCGCCTCCTCCTCCGTCTACCTCAGCGCCCGTCCCCGCTTCGCCCGAGGAGGCGGTCCCCCCCGCAGGCAGTCCGGCTCGCAGGCCGCCGGCGTTGTCACCCCCCGCGCTGCCCCCCGGCCCTCCCCGGCGCGCGGCCGGCCGGCCGCTCCCTCCTGGCCGCGTCCCGAGCGGCCCGGCGCCGCCGTCGGCCCAATCCGAGCTGGGCGCCCGCGGCCCGGGCGCCCTCCCGCGCCGCCCCCCTCCGCACCGTCCCCGGCCCTCGACGTGGCGTCCTGCCCGCGCTTCTCTCGGCTCCCCGACCCCCTCTCCGGCCTCTCGCCCCGGCCCCCGCGCAACGCTCTCCCCCGCAGCCTGCCCTGCGCTCCCTCCCGCCCCCCCCCCGGCCCCGCGCCTCCGACGCCTCCCCCTCCACGCCCGCCCTCTCGCCTCGCCGTCCCGAAGTGGATTAATTATACGCTTTCTGTTTCTCTCCGCGCTGTTCTCCCCCGCTGCGAGCCTGCCCGCCTCTCGCTGTCCCCTCTCCCTCTCGCCCTCTCTCTGGCCCCCCCCGTTTCACGTTCTCTCTGTGTCTCTCACTGTCTCTGCCCCCCTCTATCCTTGATACAACAGCTGACCTCATTTCCCGATACCCTTTCCCCCCCTAAAAGTACAACATCTGGCCCGCCCCAGCCCGCAGACAGCCCGCCCTCCCCAGAGGATCAGAAGAGTCCCCCCCCAAAAAAAAGCCATCCCCCCGTTCTGCCCCGTCGCACATTCGGCCCCCGCGACCCGGCCAGAGCGGCGCTGGCAGAGGAGTGTCCGGCAGGAGGGCCCACGCCCGCTGTTCGGTTTGCGATTCGCAGCAGGGAGGTGGGCGGCAGCTGCGCCGGCTCCCAGGTAAGCGGCGCGGCGGGGCGGGCGGGCGCGGGCCGGGGGCGCGGGGCCGGGGGGCGCGCGGCCGGGGGCCTCGGGCCGGCTCCCCGCGGCGAGGCCCGCGCTCTCCCCGGCGCCGCGGGGAGGGGGCTGCTGGCGAGGGGCTTCGGGAGCGCCCGGGGAGGTGCGAGCTGTCTGCAGAGGCGACTTCCTGGTCGGTTTGTGGGTGCAGCGGGGTGTTGCTGCAAGTCTGTGATTTGTGCGTGGCGGGGGGGGGGGCCCTGTCCCCCAGGGTGTTGGGTAACGAGGAGGGGCGCAAGGCGCAGAAACCCACCCTGGTATGTTGACTCCGCGCCAGCAAGAGCGAAGGAGGAAAACGGGGTGGGCGGGGCCAGGATGGAAGAGGGGGCGAGTTGGCAGAAGGCTCCTAGCAGGCGCCACATTTGCAGTTGACCCCCCCCCTGCGCGCACACACACAGCCCCCTCCCTTCCCCTGTCCCCAACATTTCCACCCAGGAATCTGGGAAGAGGGGCTGGTCGGAGGCTCAGAAGGGCAGGAGCGTACAGCCCGTAGAGGCTAACTGCCCCTGCCCAGTGGGGTAGATGGAACTTTCCATACAAGGAGGTGTAGGGCGGCCCCCTCCCCCCTTCCCCCCACCGCCCTGTGCCTAGAAGGGCTGGGGGTGCAGGATGAGCCCCCCCACCCCCCGGTGCTCTGCTAAGGGATGGTCCAGAGCAAGTTGTTGGGGGTGCAGGAGAGAAGGGACTGGCTGGGGAGAGGGAGGGGCGGGAGCGAAGGGGGCGGGGGGAGTGGTCAGCGGGGAGAGGGGTGGGGGGTAGGGTGGAGCCGGGGCTGGGAGGAGCCGGCTCAGACATAAAAGCTGAAGCACTGACCAGCCTGCAAACTGGACATTAGCTTCTCCCGGGAGGCAGCCTTCCAGCCGCCGCCTCCTCCTCCAGCGCCAGCGAGCTCCTGTCCCCTGCAGGTAACCAGGGCTGTTGAGCGAGGACCCCGCTGCCCGCTCGCTCCGGCCTGCCCTGCCTCCCCGGGGATGGCCTCGGCCTCAGCCCCGCGGCCCCTCCTCTCCGCCTCTGCCCTCCTCACCCCTGCCCTCCCTCCTCCGCTGCTGGCTCACCTGGCCCGCTCCAGCGCGTGCCTCTCACCCGGCCTCTGCCCTCTGCTGGTGCTGGGACGGGACCCCACGCTAGAGCGGCCGGCCCGCCGAAGGGTGCAGCCACTAGCTGGCCAGACTGTTCTTAGAATTTGGAAGGGGGCGGCCGCGGGAGCAGCCTGGGAGACGGGCTGGGGCCCAGTCCAAGGTGGGAGGAGGTGAGCGGCTGGCACTTCACATCCTCCCGTGGAGCTGGCCTCTGCTCTGTGGCCGAGCTCCTGCCGGACTGTGCTCCCTTCTTGCTTCCCCTCCTCTCCTGCACGATTTATGGCATCAGAAACTCCCTGGGCCTAGTGCGCGGCGGCCCCGCTCCAGGCCGGGAAGGGAAGGGAAGGGGCATGCCGCTTGGTGCCCCCCGGGCCCACTGGCTGTGGAGCCTGGGAGGGGCACATCCGGGCAGGCTGCCCAGCCCCTGGCTTGGGTAGCATCAGGGTGCCACTGGGCTTGGAGGCGCCAGGCCGGGACTGTGGCCCCAGAAGGGGCCTGTACCTGGGCCTGCGGAGGGCGGCCTGCGGCTACCTGCCTGGTGGGGGGGGGACTTCCACTTTCTGGAGGGGCAGGGGCAGCTTGCCGTGTCTACACGAAGACCCGAGGCTTCCTCCGAAGCCCCCCACCCTTAAGGGGCCTGGCTAACCCTTGCTCTGGGGCCTGCAGCCTCACAGCCTGTGCAGGGGGTGTGTCCTGAGACCAGCTTCTGTTTCGGGGACTGGGGCCCAAGGACCTGGCGTCCAGCCTCCAGCTGGCCTGACTTGTTCTCTCCAGCTCCAAGGGTGGGGTTTGGTACCTCAGTGGGGAGAGGGTCTCATGATCCTCAAGGGACCTTGAGGTGCCTGGCCCTGGAGCGTGGGTGTGATGCCAGGCTTGGAAAGGAGGCTTTCGGCCTCTTTGTGTTTTGGGGTACCCAGGTCAGGCTGGAGTGGGGGACTGGGCGATTCAGAACCAGGCCCACGGGAGTGTGGTTGGCACCGTGCACTCACCACTGGATCCTTGACCTGAGCTTCGCTCAGCGGGGGGCGGGGGGTGGCCGAGAGGGTGGAAGAGGCAGTGGGGGAGGGGGAAGGGGTGGGTCGGCCGGCAGGACCCCTGCTGCTTGGGGGGGGCAGGTCCTCTGGGATGCTCCGTGGTAGGGTGGGGCTGTCTGCCATCTTGGCTGATGTGGGGAGGCCTGAGGAGTGGCCGCTGCCCTGTGCTGGTCCCGCCCCCATGACTTCATAGGACAGAGGCCAGGTTCAGTGTCCAGCTCTGGCCCCTGCAGCTCCGGGTGTGGCTGAGCCCCTGTGGTGGTGACGCTGGGGATGGTCATCCCCTTGTGAAATTGCTGACCGGCCCTTGGTGCCAATCAAAGTCGTGCTTCGCACACATCCACTCAGACCTGGGGGTCCGCGCCCGGCCTGGGCGGCGGAGCACACGTCCTTTCTGAGGTTAAAACGGTCATGTTTAGGAGGAGATCATGCTCTAAAGCGGCAGCTGAACTTGGAATTGGGAGATGGCTGGGCTGGTGTCTCAGGGAGGCCCCGGCCTGGCGGGCGGCGGGCGTGGCCCCTGGCCCTGGACTTGGCTCATGGCCTCCTGTCTCCGCCCCTAGATGCCGATGGGGGTCCCGATGGGGAAGTCGATGCTGGTGCTGCTCACCTTCTTGGCCTTGGCCTCGTGCTGCTTTGCTGCTTACCGCCCCAGTGAGACTCTGTGCGGCGGGGAGCTGGTGGACACCCTCCAGTTTGTCTGTGGGGACCGCGGCTTTTACTTCAGTAAGTAGCTCAGTGCGTCGGCACCGGGGCGGGGGGTGGGGGGGAGGGGGAGGGCGCACCCAGCAGGTGCTCCATAAATGCTGGAGTCCTCCGTACCAGTTCTCAGACGCCCATGGACACCCTCCGGGATCCCTGGCGTGGGTGGCCAGGCAGAGGGGAGCTACCGAGACTTCATGAGCACGGTGGGCACTGAAGGCCACGTTTATTGGGCACGTGCAGTGTGCGTGGGGGGCACTCACACCCCGACCTTCTTGCAACACGGGAAAAGTAGAGTGCTCTCTTTCCAGGAGAGATCATAGCAGGCGTGGTGGTGTGCAGGGCGGGCTGGAGGCGGGCCCCGCCTCCCTGCGACTTCCTGACCTGCTCTTGGGGGGCTGTGGGTACAGAAGTTTCCCACACATTGGGGGGGGGGTGAGCAGGTATTTGTGGATTATGTGACTTAACGTTTGATAGAATGGACCGGAGACCCCTAGATACAAACGCGTGTGTTGCCTGCCCCATGTGCTGGCGGTGCCGAGCCCCCGCCCGGGCTTTCAGGAGAAGCGATGAGGCCCTGCCCACAGGACAGTACTGGGGACGTGGTGCACGCCTGAGGGGTGGGCCGCAACGTGGGCTTTGGCTGCTTCTTGCGCTTCTCTCTCTCCATGTCCATCCTGGGGCTGGGTTTTCCTGAGAACTGGGCTTGCCCCCCGCCCTGTGTGGGCCCCCAGCTGGAGGAGACCTCTTCCTCAAGGGCGCAGGCTCTTGCCCTCACCTCCCAGAAAGCTGGGCCTCGGTTTCCTTACCTACAGGATGGGGAGGGGAGCATTTATCTGGATAATGGGAGGCATGGGGGAGCGGGCCCAGGCGGACCCTGAAGGTGGGGCGCCTCTGTTCCCAGCAGGGGCCCAGACGGGGTGGGGGGGGGGGAGGAAAGGTGCTGAGTGCCTCCACCCCTGCCCTGGCGCCCGTGGGCCACCCCCCTCCGCAGCCTTGGTCTCTAAAGCCTCTCTTTGAAAACCAGTCCTGCTTCTCCAGGCTTTGGAAGCCCAGTCCACCCTGGCCTCGCTGTCCCCTCTCTCTGTCCCTCTCACGGCCTCGTTTGGGGGCAGGAAGTGGCACTGTGTAGGGTCTGGTGCCCAGGGAGCGAGTCCCCTGCAAGGAGGGCTGGGACCACCCCCCCACCCGTGGGACCTCCTCCCCACTGGCGCCCGTCCTCGCCCCACCCCCCACCCCAAGGCGAGGGCCCGGACTTTTCCTTGCAGCTGACCTTGGAGCCCAAGCAGCGGAGGGGCGGGGACGACGGGAGGAAAGGGGGGCGTGGTTTCATGCAGGTCCTCACTCCTCCCCTCCCGTCTTCCCCTTCTTCTCCCATGCCTGCCTCGGCGACTCGAGGGCTACGGCCGCCCAGGGTCCTGCCCTGTTCAGGGATGGCACTTGCGTCCCAGCGTGGCCTTCAAGACAGGACCCTGCGCCCCGCATCATGGGGGGCTGGGGCCTTGGCGGGCTCACGCCTGCGCACCTTCCCCACCTCCCTGGGCAGTGGACCCTGGAGGCCGTGCCCACTGTCCCCGCGAAGAGGGAGGCGCCGCGAGGCCAGGGTGCTGGCACCCCTCCTGTGTCCTGCCCTTGCTCGCACCCTGCCTGCACGGGCCCCCCCGCGGCCGCTCTGGTGCTCAAGTGCGGCTCTCGTTCCCCCTGTGGGACTTCCAGGCAGGCCGGCGAGCCGCGTGAACCGCCGCAGCAGCCGTGGCATCGTGGAAGAGTGTTGCTTCCGCAGCTGTGACCTGGCCCTTCTGGAGACCTACTGCGCCGCCCCCGCCAAGTCCGAGAGGGACGTGTCGACCCCTCCGACCGTGCTTCCGGTAAGCCAGCCCTGGGCCGCTGCTGGGGGGTGGGGAGCCAGCTCTCAGAGTCGGGGGGGAGGGGGGGGACCAGGGCTCAGCCAGCTCCTGGGCTTGCGGACTGCCGTGGACCCCCCCACGCCAAGGACCCTGGCCCAGAGCGGCGTCCAGCAGTTCCCCGTGGGCAGGTGGGATAGCAAGCCCACCCCACCCCGGGGTGAGGCCACTGACAGGTCCACGAGGGGGGGTGCGGGTGCAGGGCGGCTGGGGGCAAGAGCCAGGAGCGATCCCCCCTTGACTGGCTGCTCCCCCCCCCCAGGACAACTTCCCCAGATACCCCGTGGGCAAGTTCTTCCAATATGACAGCTGGAAGCAGTCGGCCCAGCGCCTGCGCAGGGGCCTGCCCGCCCTCCTGCGCGCCCGCCGGGGTCGCGTGCTCGCCAAGGAGCTCGAGGCGTTCAGAGAGGCCAAGCGTCACCGTCCCCTGATCGTCCTGCCCACCCACGACCCCGCCGCCCACGGGGGCGCCTCTGCGGAGGCGTCCGCCAATCAGAAGTGAGCCAAACCGTCGTAATTCTGCAGAACGGCACCGACCACCTGGTGCTCTCCTCCTGACCGGGGACTGTTCCATCGGGTCCCGTCTCTGACATCTCTCGGTACCATTTTCCCTCTGCGGGCTCCCCCACCCCCAGCCCCCATGCCCCAACCTCCCCATGTCAGGCTCTTTTCTCCTTGGCCCTCGCCATCGGGCCGAGGGGGATCCTAGTAACATCTCTAAAAATGTACAAACTCAATTGGCTTTAAATATCCCCCCGAAACTACCCCCCAAATTATCCCCAAATTACACAACAAAAACCTAAAACTATGAACCCCCAAATGACACACATGCATGCACATCAGTCCCCTTAAAACAAATTTGCTTTTTAGAAAACACCAGAGCAGTAATTTGGC